GTTTGTGTGTCTGTGTGAAAATGTAGTGTTAACTGCTTTAATTTTAAGGGACATATTTTTGAAAATTTCATGAGTCAGTAAAAATAACCAATTTGTAGTAAGAATTTTTCCAAGGTCATATAACACAATGTCTTTTAGAAAGCCAATAATGTGTACAGAATCCAAAACTGAAAACCAAAATTTTTGTATTATGGTTTGTCTATAAGTGATCTTGAACCATCACTGCAGGCATCAATTGGCCAGAAATCAAATTATCGACCATTCTGACATTGGTGAAATGTTTTCTTCACAAAAGCCATAAGATTATGAAAAAATTAAGCCGTTTATGCAATTTTCAAGTCATCACAACATCCTTGCCATAGAATAATACTATCGCCTACAAATTACTTCATTTAACAATATATTTTTAAATAATTCAACCCCAGACAAAGAACAAAATATCAATACTGTTGATTTTAAAGGGCCATATGCTGTGACTTTTGTTGTAATTTTTTGATAAATATAATACTGAGCTAAAATTTTAATTGTAATACTAAATGAGTAAACATGGTCAGTCACATGGGTTTTACATAATTATGTTAATGGTAAGCAAATGAACAGAATTCTAGCTTGGACTTCCAGCTGTATAGATGCTGTTTACATGTCCGTAATTTGGCATAGGTTACATAGTTTAAACAAATTAGGCAGACAAACAGTTCATGATATTTTACTGTGAACGCACAAATGAAAGGAACACCTATTTACCAACATCGTCAACAAACTTGCTAACGAAACGCCTTTATGTCTGGAGATCATTTCCAATTTGAAACCCTTTGGGCCACCTCATTTTCAAAAGGAGTCAATGGTATTTACTAAAGGGGTGCACTCTCAAGTCGTTTCTTTATGCAAAATTTTTGTATTTTTTCTCGTTATATGCTTGTTATATAGTTTAAACAAATTAGGCAGACAAACAGTTCATGATATTTTACTGTGAACGCACAAATGAAAGGAACACCTATTTACCAACATCGTCAACAAACTTGCTAACGAAACGCCTTTATGTCTGGAGATCATTTCCAATTTGAAACCCTTTGGGCCACCTCATTTTCAAAAGGAGTCAATGGTATTTACTAAAGGGGTGCACTCTCAAGTCGTTTCTTTATGCAAAATTTTTGTATTTTTTCTCGTTATATGCTATTTTAAATGTAATAAATTATTAAGTACAATTACAACAGCGATAAAAATTATAATGGAAAATTCATATACCGATCATGCCCTTCTCTAAAAGTATCTTGGCCTCCAATTGAAAATAAGATGGCCTAATCTGATTATGATGTCCAGACACCAGTTTGAATCAGCACAGGCAAGTTTGCTGACGATGTTGGTAATTAGGTATTCCTTTCATTCACACGTCCACAGTAAGAATAATATAGTTGAATGTCTATAACAACACAATAATATTGTGGTGACAATTCTATCTCTTCTAGGTGTATGACATTACAGAGGGACATCAGTAATTTCTTGTTATTGGTTGTCTTTCAGAATTCTATGATTACAAGTGTGGTAAGCTCTTCAATTGTTTCCTGCTTCATTTCATCAATGCTTTTAGATTTAAGGTAGAAGCCTACTCATAAATTAAAAAACCCAGAATTTATTCATTTTGCAATAAATTGTACTCCAAGGCAATATAAGGATATTGACTTGAAAAAAGTTGGGGGGTCACCAGCCTTTTTTTCGAGAAATTAATGGTTGTTTTTTAGTGGAAAGTCGCCATTTTGACACAATTATAACACTTTTACCACAGGTTCCTATGGCAGAGATATTATGCAATATCTCAAAATCTAGCCTGGTGACATAGGCTGAAAAAATCATATATTGTTAATGATGGAGTACCTTTTGTTGTTCTGAATTATTAAAAAAATCTGGGTTTTTAAACAGTGTCAAAAAATCCATTTTTTCTTTAACATTATTATGGTAGAAGCTTACTCATATATTTTGAGAAATTTGGTCATAAATCGCATGACAATGTTCATTGGTTTATTATGTAAAATCATGAAGCTATTGTCCCATGGCACCATAAAATAGTATTCTATTGTGTGTTACAGTGATGTATTTTGAAAAAACTTGTACTACATTTTTTCAAAAATAGCTATTTTTAGAACAATTCCATAGAGCGCAATGTTAAACAAAAATTGCATTTTTCAACACTTTTTAAAACCCAGATTTTTGAAAAAATTCAGGAAAACAAAAAGTAGGCCATCATTAACAACGTATTATTTTTTCAGCCTATGTCACCAGCCTACAATTTGAGATATGGCATAATATCTGTGCCATAGGAACCTATGGTAAAAGCACTATAATACTGCCAAAATGGCCGCTATCCACTAAAATACAACCATGATTTTCTCGAAAATTAACCTGGTGACCCCCATTTTTTTCAAAGTCAATATTCTTATATTGCCTGGAAGTACAATGTATTAAAAAATTAAGAAATTCTGGGTTTTTGAAATCATGACTAGGCTTCTACCTTAAGCGAGACATTTGTAAGATTTCTGGATTAGGCTTGAACTTGAAAAGCAATTGACTTGATGCCCAAAATATTTGCCTTGGTGTCTTTCAAAATTAGATAACCCTTGTACTTCGTGCTAGTGTACTTTCGAAGCAGAATTTTTTATTGTGATTCAATTCAATTCGGTTGGCCAACTGTGAATTTTGATGAAAAGGCGCTAAATGTTTCTCAGAGATGACCAGGATGAGTTTGATCAAAGTTGGTGTGATGATCATACATATTGGGTTACAGGTACACATTATTTTTAGTCCCCGATCAGATCGGTCCGAAAAAACGGGTTTGACCTCTGTGAGTCTGTGTGTCTGTGTGTGTGTGTGTGTGTGTGTGTGTGTGTGTGTGTGTGTGTGAGTTCGTACCTATATCTTAGACATGCCTGGACGTATTACATTTAAACTTCACACATACATCATACATATTATTATACATGTGCACATCAATTTGTATTTATTCTAAATATGAACCAAAAATTGAATCACATCCTGAATCATTTAAATATTGTTTTACCATTGACACACCTCTAACAAAACAAAGGTGGGTAAAACATCAACATAACAGTGATCATTTTAGTATTTTTGAAATGAGAGCTCTAGCTTTCCAGTGTTTGGTTGCTTGCTTGCTTATACTGGCTGTCAGAATACAATCTTGCTAGTTATCTAATAAATGCAAATTTAGTTTTCAGATACACTGTTGGGTTTCTTTGCTTTCATACTATACCTGTGAATAAGTCAATGATCATATTCTATCACTGTTATTCAAGTATTAATACAAGTCTTCTTTTACTTTTTAGGATGAGAAAAAACCACACTTTGAAGATCTTCTTGCCGCAGTCATATCACTTTACCTTGATGTGGAAATCTATCTTCATCGGTGAGTTTTTTATTAGACTTTAGGTTTTGTTTCCCATCATTACATGAATAAGTTTGCGCTACAAGTGAAATGTCACATACAATAAAATAAAGAAATGTTTTCATGTTTCGGAGGGTGTTGAACCAAATAAACCTGTAATCAGCCCTCAAATTTGTTTCCCTTTGCCAAGTGAAAAATTTAGTAGCCAAGTGCCAAATTGTTTGTTGCCAGAATTCTTTTTTATACAATCACAGAAACACCAAATAAGTTAAAATTCTGATTCACTTACAGAATATTTTTGTACATGAAGTCATAAACAAATTTAAATATGACCAATAATAAATTGCACATATGGTGAGTGTTTGCATGTGTGTATAAGTGTGCCAGTCTGATTTTGTTTAGGTTGCAAATAAGTAATCAAGATATTTACTTTAATAGGCATTAATTTTATTAGGTTTCCATGTCAACCAAAATGATAATGGACGTATTTAAAAAACTTGTTTTTGGTTGTGGTGATGCATCGGTGCATCATTTTTTAATTTCCTCTCGGAAGAGAAGCAAAACCTTTTTTTGGCCTTATTATTATCTAGTATTTCTTGGATCCCCTCATCTTTAATTCCAAACGACAGTCCAGACTAATAGTGCTCATGTGTTGACTACAACGAAGGTCAGTTAAATTTTGTTTTGCTCTACATGGGAACTATTTACTGTAAAATCTGTATATGAAACTTCCATTGAAATGGTACAATGCAACAGAAGGGATGGTGCTTCAATTAGAGTATCTACACGTATGAGAAATTGTGAATGTTTGGTACTCAATTACTCAATAAGAATGGGTGTGAATTATATTAGAGATGCGGCTTCTAATACAGATTTTACGGTATTCATTAGTCCTTTTACCTTCATCCAACTAATATTCTTTCGTTATTCTCATTTGGTTTTAGAGGAAAGGATGATGCAGCAGATGCAGCCAAGAATACTATACTTAAAATAAACATGTTACTGGGAAAGTCCACTTCCTACCTATATGATGCTGTTTTACAGACAACATCAGTTACTGCGAAAGATGTACCATTTATGTTACCTATCTACGAGTAAGTACTTTTTCCAACCCATATAATCTCACTTTCTGGTTCCTCAAAAAATGCACCATGCACTTGACGCATAATGTCTCCGAAGATTATATTTCAACACGTCACCTTGTGATAGCTTCCACAGAGTGCCGCCAGATGTGAAAATATTAGCAATTTCTGAAAATGTTTTGCTATTTGAAAACAAATTTGTTCGCATATATTATCAATTTCGTGCTCCATACCTGGAAGTGTAAAAATTTTAGCATTAAAGGGCGGTGATCGTCGCATCGTGTTTGTGTTGATAAACATTGATTTTTCCCACAATCCAATGCTTTTCTAATGGAAATCACGCGAAGTGAACTAATTACCACCGTTGACTCCTCAACACCTTCCAATCACCAATGAGCTTGGTAATGTCCCAGTTTGTACTCGTTGACCCATATCTCATGCTTGCGATGACCACCACCCTTTAAACTGATGTGATCTTAGTCTATCTACATGTAAGTAATTTTCTCAAAAAGACTTTTAGTTATTTTGCAAAAATGAATCAATTTTTTAGTGTTCATCTGCTTCTTTCAGAGCAAATACAATAATCTTATTTTTGATTGTTTTTATTAGGAGTATTTTGAAGAGACCTCCAGATGTTGTTACTAACTGTACTTATATCAAATACATGAGTACTGTCAAGCAAGTCTTAAGTATCTTGGATAATAAGTACAAGGATAAAGTTGATTTAATTAAAAAGGTACAATAATTAATTGCTCTTATTGATAGAGAATAATACCTTATTCCATAGTGTTCTACATTCAAGCCTTGCACATGCAGAATACAATGCATCCAAGTGCAGTCGTTTCCACATGGCTTATTGATGGCCATTTCAGGTACAAGAAAATGCACTAAATTGAGCATTTATGAAACTGGGTAAAGTTCTTCACAACATTGTTAAACATCACCCATGATTATTAAAATGGCAGACTAACAACTTTATCAGGGCGTTGTGTGTTATAGGCCTTGACTGATTGTTTTCAACATGAGTAAATGCATGTTCTGGTTCACATGTGCACTTACAAGCATGTCATGATTTGTTTGATTTTAAGTTTGAAAACTGCCACACTATCTTCAGGATCTACTTGACAGTCACTGAATGTGTTTTGTATTTGAACACTTACTTTCATAAAGATATGTTTGAGTTTTTTAGGAAGCTAGAAAAGTAAGCGTACCACCCGGTTTTCTTCAATGGATCAAAGAAATCTCTCCAAACATATTGGATGATGTTCCGTTGAAAGTCAGATCATCAGGAGATAGGATCACTAACTACATATTGAAGGAAGCATCAACTGAGTTTATAGATAGCTTGATTGAAGTGAGTATTTGTTTTCATGGGTATTTATATATATCCAACCTCTTGCATCCTGGTCGCATGTAATGTACTACTGTGAAATACTTTATTTTAGCTGGAATTAATTCTCGCTGAAAAGACTTTTTGGGTGTTTTGTATGGAATTTATTTTCACCGATTCCTGATGATTTCAGTCTAAATTATAGGAACAAATATATATTAACTGGATTTTATTTTCACTCAATTATTTCGTCAGTGAAAATAGCGAAAATAAAATAACTAACAGTATTTTGATGTTTGGCATAATGGTCTAGGAGATTCTGCAATGGTCTGGGTGATAGGAGATTTGACTTCCGTGATCAGCTGCCGATTCAGCAATGTTCAGAGATGGTGGGTTTGACTTCCATGGTCAGCTGGCTCTTAAGTTACGATTTTCAGTGTTAATCAGGGATTTTTTTTAAACAAGGGAACAGGGGTGCAGTGCCCTCATGCCATGGCCATGCGTCCCCTTACCCTGGGAAGCAGATCCTCTGGCAACCATAAAACTCTGATTGACCAGGGATCACATGTGGCCACAGTCTTCAACTGTGACCTGTCTGATAATAATTTTGGCCCCAAGGATGCCATAGAATGCTCCATTTTAACTTAGAATTATCAAAAACTCCACACCCTGGTAGGGAGAACCCTATCTCCCCACTTGGTGGGGGACGGTGAATTGCATTGCTCCCTCTTGCAGTTTTTTTTCCAGAAAAAACCCTGCTCATAAAAAAAGTAGTCAGGACAATAAGCTTATAGCCTAACAAGCTGGCCTCTATAAATAAAATTCAATAAATAAGAACTTAACCTTTTCAACCAATAGACTTTTTTGTCCAAATTGTTATGCACTTTCTACTTATATTCTTCAATATTTCTGGAAATGAACCATAATTTTGCAGCCAATAGACAAAATTTGAGACAATTTTCAGTTTATGAAAAATTGGCTATTTTTTGTCCTAATCTCCTGAAGAAAAGTGCAGACTATAAACGGAACTATTTTGTAATGAAAAGAAGGAACTGGTGGTGAAAAGGTTAAATGATATCACAGGTTGTCTGTCATCACCTTTTCTTGTAACCCTTGAATACCTCTGAAATTTGTATGTGGTTCTCCTCATTCAAATTTTGTTATTTGATGACAATATGATATTTCATACTGATTTTTGGTCATACTTGCTTTGAATAATCTGATAGTATATTATGTGTTGTGACAGTGTGTAGAATATCCAGGAGAAATAAATTTGGAGGATGAAGAAAATGAATTCACAGTAGATGGAAAACTTTATTCTTTGTGGATAAATCAGCTGATGAAACCATGGAAACAAAAATGAAGGCAAGTTGAAAGTTTATTCCAAATTGTAATAACTTTGTGCTGCAATAAATAAAAATTGACATGTTCTCATTGGTAATTATAATCCCAAAAACCCAGTCCTTGTGGACGGTTGAGAATTGAATTGTATTTTAATTCCCCCAAAAGTATTTCTGGCTTTGTGTATCATTGATGCAGTGCTGGCTATAGCACGAAATGCTGCGGTATCAGTCATATATAATGTTACTGTGTAAAGTCTGTGTTTTCTATTGTTGTATTTTCTGTGTTATTTTGGTCAGATTAATGAATGAGTGATACAAGAAAGATAAGTGATTTTCAGAATATTTGAGATGTTATGTTTGGCTCGTGGACTCAGTTATTGTGATTGGTAAAGACAATTAAGTGATCACCATCCTTGCTTCCTTAGATGAACAACAACTCATAAAAGATAAAATTCTTTTTTCAGAAAAATACAAATATAGAAAACACAGACCTGACATTGTGAGCACCAAAATCAATCATAAGAGTTACCGACCGTGCTGTTACCAGCTGTGGGTTGACCAGGTATTCAACAGATTTGGGATTTTTACCCAATCATCTAGTGCTGTCGCGATAGCTATCAAATGTAAATAAATAAGTTTATGAAATAATAGCTGACTTCTGGATGATGATGGCCCAATGTTGCCAAGATTTTTGATGCCATGAACGTGTATTCACTTCTTCACTGGACTTCTTTATTACCAAGACTGGCTTCACTTGGATGGAGTTATCAATTTCGTTGTCTTAATAATGATTCTAACTCTTCACTTGATCTGAGGAAATCAAACACTTCTGATCTATTGTTCAGGAATTACATTTTACATGTTTCTCTGTTATGAAACATTAAAGTTGAACGTGACTCAATGTGTGATTCGTCATACGTACGCTAGAGCATCAATGGATACCATGACATAGTAGCAACAGACATGTGCAATGACTCAATGTGCGATTTGTCATACGTACGCTAGAGCATCAATGGATACCATGACATAGTAGCAACAGACATGTGCAAATACATCATTCCTATGAATCATTGTCTCTCATAATGGAGTGCATCTGTGGCATGAAAAATACATATATGGGTGAAGACAATGCCGTTCGAATCGACTGGATTTGTAGCTGTTCGTCACTTAGAATATAGTAAAATCTCCAAAATTATATTCTTCATTCATGGCTGACAACAAATTAAACTTTATAGGCATTTGAATGGCCTTTGTGTCAATCATTTACATCATAGGAGGACATTTGAGGGCGTAACAGTTATTTCTGAGAAGATAAAAACACAGAACTGGAACAAGATAAGACTGGCTCATCCGCAAAATTATCACCATAGTTAGTGTTGTCAAGATGCTGTGCATGCAAAGTATCTAATTATTAACTGCCTCCTGATTACAAACCACTCCTCCCAGTTGACTAACAATGTTAAAGCGTGGTAGTCGTCGCAAAGATGGCGACTTTGACTGGCAGATCAACGAGTATGAAATGAGACGTTTCCAAGTTTTAATTAAGCAATTTTCTTGTAATTGGAAAGTATCTAATGAGTCGTCGACGGTAATCAGTGCAAATCGTGCCCAGGTCAAACCTCATACTTGTGATTTCCATTTGAAGAGCGCATTGGATTGTGGGAAAATCAATGTTTATCAACACAAATATTACACCGCGCCTTAATAACTCAAAAGCTGCAAAACCTGATTACAAACAGCATCTGTAGTTTTAATCCTGCAAGTCAGCATCATTGTGAATCAAGAACAAGATGTCAAATGTTGTCAAACAAGTGCTAAAAACCTCCATTAATTAGTTGACACTTTTATCGTATTGCTAATTTACCTTATCAAAATAAAATAGAGATCGTGTCTTTAGCATGAGGCATATGTTGGTCTTGAAAAGAGTGACTTAGGGAGTTAAAGAAGTTCAAATTCTCCACATATAAAGATGGCACCCTAGGTGAGAGAGAAGATTGCCAAAATGGCTCACTGGAGTGGAAGGACACCTTTGGCATGTTATATCAAAAAGATGATTCTCAAATTGAATTTAATGTTTAAACTGTATTAGATCATGAATGAATACTTAATGCTTTTATGAGAATTCCGTATGTACAATCCATCCACCCTGTGGTTTTTGATAAGCAGTTAGTATAATTTAAACGATAGTCAAAATAAAGTAATGTTATTTGTATTTGTTGCCAGGTTTATGGCATAACTTCTTAACTAAATAAAAAGATATTTTTGTAATCTGTCTTTCCCTGTGGCTGCTTTGTTTGCTTATCCCGAGACTGAGATGTGCACTAAAGCTGATGAATAACTACCTGAGGCCAAGGACATCTACTTAAAATGTAATCAATAATTACCTGCAGGCCTAGGATGTGCACTGTATCTGATTAATAACAACTGTAAAATGACTAATTTTCACTGGGTTTAAATTTCACTGATTTACCATTTCAGGCATATTCAATGAGTTTTAAATTCACGATTTTATTATTTAGATAATGTGTTCTATGGTAAGTTTTACATATTCACTGGGTTTTAATTTAGCGCATTTTCCAGTCAGCGAAATAAGCAAATAAGTGAATAATTAACCCTTTTACAGTACCCAGTGGCCCAGGACATGAACATAAAATCTGAGGTTCAAGGTGGACACTATAACAAGATCATGATGAGGTCCAGGGATTGAACTCAATGCAAGCAGTAACTACCTTGTGCACAGGAAATGCACTTAAAATCTGATCAATAACAACTTGAGTCTCCAGAATCTGTTTACCAAATTTGATCAATAACTACTCAAGATCTAACTAAATCTGATCAATTAACTACTTAAGACCTAGGATGTGCTCTAAATACTAGTGAAGTCATGAACATGAATTGCACAACTTTTGCAATCAACTAATTTCAAGTCTCGTATTTTTTGTAACTGGGTAGGTCTTTCTGACCATGATTAAACTAGGCTTCCTTTGTGTGCAGAATTGTCAGATCATCCGTTGAGTCATAGGAAGTGCACATTCACCGCACACTGTCTTTTGAGATTCCATGGTGCTTACAGTGGTAAGGCGCACTGTAATTACTCCCCGTTCAGACGAAGTCCGAAAACAGGGACTTATAATTCAGTCTCCGTCCGTCCGGAGTCATCCCTTGGGCCGATTCCGTTCATTCTTTGCATGTGCCTAGTACTTTATGTGGGACATATGCACATGCAGTGGTTTAGCGATTCAATTCAAAATGGCTGACTGGCAGCCATCTTGTTTTTTGAAAATGTTGTATTTTGGACATGCTTTGTCAGTTTTCATTCAAACTTGGTACATAGATTATACATGTCCATGACGATTTATTTCGCAATTGGATCAAAGATGGTCAACTGGCAAGCATCTTGTTTTTTTTATGCGGTATCGTGGACGTGCTCTGTCAGTTTTCATTCAAATTTGGCACATACATGTACTTTATACATGTTAGGATGCATGTCCATGACAATTTGTTTCAAAATCTGGTCAAGGATGGCCGATTGACAGCCATCTGACTTTTTGGACTTACTACTATATTTCCACAATTTATGTACCATTTTTATTTTTGGCCATATTACTACTACACGGAACACGTGTTTTGATGTAAATAAACAATCTTTTGTATACGCCACTTGGAACTCAAGTATCAAGGACACGTTCGCGACAACCCATCCACTTAAATATGACTACCACAAAGAGAACTTTAAAAAATTTAACGGGGACTGTGTCATTTTCAATGACTTGTTGCCTGTAATTTTGATTTATCTTTGACAAAGAAGCACTTCAGATTTTAATTAAAACTATATACATTTATATTCAGATTGACTTCAGTTCATTAACATCGGATAATGATGATGACATACATAGTAAAATTGATGAATTAATATCTAATATATCATCAGACGATGACGACGACATTGAGGTATGTGTATTTATTTTTTTTAATACTCTATATATACTGTAAAACATACTGTTACTGTGGGTACAACTATTGGATATTTAAGCTTCCATTAAAAATGGGGCTAATCTTGCACTGGCTCGGAAGGTTGTAAATGATTAGCTAGTTTGAATTTGCATAACAATACTGACAATGAACGTGCATTCAACGCCACAAGCTTTTTGTTTTTTTAGCCAATCAGAATTCATCTTCCGAGCCAGTGCAGATCAGCCGTAAAAATGCTCTCAAGAGACTAAATACAGTATTATGTATACAAATTACTTTATTTTTTTAAGTGCCCCCCCCCCAATATTTTGCTTCATTTTTTTTAGCAC